GCGCGATTCCCAAGTAAATCGTGAAAAAAAAAATCAAAGCGAGAGCGTGATTCCTGAGCGCCGAGGGCGTACCGTCTGAATCAATTGCGAGGAAGTCCCACGCGAGAGCGCGATGCGAACTTGAATTGTGAGAAACTCCCGCGCGAGAGCGCGATTGGGGAATAAACTGTGAGGCAGTATCAGGCGGATCCGTTGTTGTTATTGTAAACCGGGGGCGAGGGGCCCAGTTTGAGCCCCGTGACCTTCCTATATTAAGAAGGTGCGAGCCCCGGGGGAAGCAATTCAATTGAAAAGACACAATGGTCACCAGAAAGGGGATCAACTATACTTATTCTACAATAGTGAAAGTTCAACTGTTTTAAAACTGTTTGCTCCTTTCTGCTCACGTGCCATCCAATACGTATATGCTAAACCTTCGGTGCCCGCCCTCTTCGTCTTCGATCGCAGCCCATTGGGGGTATATCCTCCTTACCTGCCACGTGCATGTCGTGCAGTCCCTAAAACAAGGGAAGAGGGGACGGGTGAAGGGGGAGGGAGACGGATCGAGCACGAGAGAAACTAGCAGGAGGGGGGCTAGGAGCAGAAAACAAGTGTCAGAACCAGACGGGCAGATCGGGTGGGCGGACACATAGCGAGCGGGTCGGGAAGGCGGGCCCAGGCGACCATGTCGAGCAGGCGGGTTGCTGAAGCGTGGGTCCTGCATAAATCGCGAGGAAATCTCGATCGATAGCGCGATTCCCAAGTAAATCGTGATAAAAGTCAAAGCGAGAGCGTGATTCCTGAGTGCCGAGGGCGCATCTTCTTAATAGATTGCGAGGAAGTCCCACACGAGTGAGGAAGTCCCGCGCGAGAGCGCGATTCTTCAAGAAAATATAAGGTAGTATCAGGCGGGAGCCGTTGTTGTTGCAACTCGAGGCCAGGGGCTCAGTTTGATCCTGAAGACTTTCCTGGATAAAAAAACAGGGTGCGAGTCCTGGGAGGGGCACTTCCATGGGAAAATATAATGGTTACTGGAGGTGGGGGGATAAGCAAGACTTACGTTGTTCAGAAATGAGAACCCATCAACAACATCGACAGCAGCAGCAACAACAACAGAAGCAACAACAGCAACAGCAACAACAACAACAACAGCAGCAACAACAGCAACAGCAGCAACAACAGCGGCACCATAACAAGCCAAACAAACTCAAATTGCAATTTGCGACATCACTTCCGGATGCGGTGGTTTATTGCTGGATCAGCGTGGCCGGGCTCCTGATCCCAGACAGCTCGACCCCCATAGGGGATAGGAAACAATCAAGACATCAGACGTCGGGGAAGCTGGACCCCCCTTTTGGAGGCGCGCACAAGGGGGTGGAGGGAGGGGGGGAGGGCTTCCTATAATCTTAAAAGGAGGCTGCTTCTTAGAAGGCGCCGGCCTTACATCTATAGATCAGGCCCGCGCCTTCTCAGAAGCAGGGGTGCTTCGAAGAAGCCCTCCCCCCTCCCCCCACCCCCCTCTGCGCGTGGCCGACCCCTGTTCGAGGCCACTCGTCCTTAGGGCCTCAAGGCCCCAGGGCCGCATTTTTTCTGCGAGAGAGAGAGAGAGAGAGAGTTGTTGACTATTACTGCACGCGCGCCTGGGAGCAGGACGCTCGCGCGCTCGGCCGTGGCGGCGCGGCAGTGGCGACCCCCAGCCTGGGGAGCGCGGCGTGGGCCATTCGGACAAGAAGGCAGGGAGATCGAGGCGGGAACTTGTCCACATCCACCGCATGGGAACCGACGCCCTGGTGCCCCAGCGGGCGGTCGATATACCCATCGGTCGGAAGAAATAGGCAGAACCATGAAGTAGGAAGGCGTTGAAAGTAGATTGGATTCCGTCCGCTCCCTGAGGAAGACGGAAGACGTGAAGCCACTCGATCATTGGAGTAGGAAGGCGCTTAAAATACATTGGAATCGGGGATTCCAAAAACACCTACTTTCAACGACCGATGGGTGGACCTATTTTGGCCCCCGGGTGCCCGAATGTATCCGTGTCCACCGCCTGTGGAGGTCCGCGAGGATCGACCTCCCATGCGGTGGTCATGGATTATGCTGCTCCCGTCGCACTTAAGGACCACATCCCAGAAATATTTTCGAACACCCAGAAAAGTATCGAAACAGTGTCGAACGAGTGTCGCCTCCCGGGGCACGACGCGTGCAAACCCTCGAGTTGCTGTACTTCCTTGGTGCTTGAAACTCTTTCTGGTGGTCAATGGGACGCACAAGGACATACTAGTACTATATGTCCGCCTTGGCGGCGTGCGTCCGACCCGAAGATGTAGTCTAACCATCTTGGAGTATACCGTTTCCCGAGCGGTGTGGCCAGAACGCGCCCGCCACGACGTATATACTGCAAGACTTCTCGGTGCTCGCGTCGCCACTGGGGGGACGACGCACGCATAGTATTAGTATGTCTGGGTGCCGCCGAGTCGAGGCAGAGAGTACACCCTGCGAAATGCTTAAGAAATCATGGGTTAAGAAATTCATAGCCTCAGAATTTGAATAAAAATCCAGAATGTTTATTCAAATCTTAGGATCTACATTGAAACATTAAGAATAATCGAGACTCTGGACGAAAACTGAAGTTTTCTTAAGCATTGCCTGGGGTGTAGGCTGGAACACCATGAGTCCTGGACAGGTCCCCGCCTCGCAGGAAGCCGCCGGGCCGAGGCCGGCTCTCGGGACAGCCGGCGGGGACGGGTGGGGGAGCCGCAGAGCAGGCGCGCCAAGCAGAGGAGCGCCGCGAGCAGGGCCGGAGAGGAGCGGCCGAGGCCGGCGGCCCTCTCGCAGGCAGGCCTCCTCCTCCCCCTCCTCCATTTCTCCTCCTCCGTTCTTCCTCCTCCTCCTCCTCCTCCTCCTGTTCCCCCTCCTCCTGCTCCCCCTCCTCCTCCTCCTCCTCCCTCCCCTCCTCCTCCTCTTGCTCCATTCCTCCTCCTCCCTCGTTCCTCCTCCATTCCGCCTCCTCCTCCTCCTCCTCCTCCTCTCAGCGCTTCCGGTCGCGGTCCCGGTCGCGGTCCCTGCTGCGCGAGCGTTCGCGCTTCTTGTCGCCGCGGTCCTTTTCTCGGTCCCTGTCCTTCTCCTTGTCGCCCCTGCGGTCGCGGTCCTTCTCGCGGTCCTTGTCCTTCTCGCGGTCCTTCTCCTTCTCCTTCTCCTTCTCCTTCTCTTTCTCTTTCTCCTTCTCCTTCTCCTTCTCCTTGTCGCCGCGGTCTCGATCCTTCTCCTTGTCACGGTCCCCGCGGTCCCGGTCCTTCTCCCGGTCCTTTGGCCTATCGCGGTCCTTGTCCTTGGCAGCCTCCTTCTGCGCCACCGCCGCGGCCTTCTGCTTCTTCTTCTTGGACGGCTTGCCGACGCGCCCGGGCCCGCGCCCACCGCCCAAGCGTCGGGGGATCCAGCCCTCGACGGTCCGGCCGCGCTCGACGTCCACCATGACACGGCGAGCGTCGATCTTCTTGCCGTCCCCCTGCTTGTACGCGTTCTTGAGGTCGCGCTCGTGCTCGTACTCTATGAATGCGTACCCGCGCGGTTTGCCCTTCTGGTCGTAGACCATCCTCACGCGCTTGATACTGCCGAACACCTCGAACTCGCGCTTGAGCTTCTTCTCTGTGGTGTCGAAACTGACGCGCGAAACAAACAGCGTCTTGAAAGGATCGCCGGTAGCATTTGGATCCTTGTGGGGGTCGTACTTGTCGACGAGCTTCTTCAGTGATTCCTTGTGAGCCGTCACCTTCTCCCGGTGCCTGCGCGCCTTCTTCTCCAGCGGCGACTCCCACTTCTCCGGCGGGGACTCGTCCTCCGGCTTGAAGTGCTCCGTGAACTCCGCGCAGCCGCTGAGCAGGACTTTCTTCTTGCCTGCCAGCGGAGGCAGATGCTGCGGAGGGGGCCTGGGCGTGAATAGGGCGAGGATGCTCGGCTGCACGCAAGAGGGACCCCGGGCAAGGGCAGAAACATAAGAAACAGCGCCATTAACACTAATTTGTGGCGCTCCGCGCGGATCTCTTGGATCTGCGCTGGACCCCCCTCCCTGGCGAGCGGTGCGCGCTAGGGGCGGCGCCGGAGGCGCCGCAGGGAGGGCCCAGAGCGGATCCAAGAAATCCGCGCGGAGCGCCAAAAGTATGTGTTTACGGCGCGTCTTCTTCTTCTTCTTCTTCTTCTTCTTCCTCTTCTTCTTCTTCTTCGATCCAAGATCGACGATCCAAGATGCTCATGGCGTTTTTTCGCCTTCGAAAGAAAGCCCTCTGGTGCGGGGGGCCGCGAGGGGGCCGAAGCCAAGCGCGCCAGCCGATGCCGGACCCAGACCCCCAGCGTCGCGATTTTATCCCAACGTCGACCCCCAGAGGTGCGGACCCCTGCCCCGGGGCCGGCTCTTCGTCCCGAGCCGTCTCTTTTGTTGACGGCCCCGAGGCCGGAGGCCGAGCATAGCGAAAGTAGGGGGCCACAAGCGAGCCCTACCCCTACGGTGGGACGACGAAATGTTGCAAGTTGCTCCTGGCCGCGTACGGCCGCGCCTACATTGCGACGCCACCTCGACAAAACGCCCCCGCCCCCTAAATTTCAATGTTGGCATCGAGCGAGCACCCCAAGTCCGGGAGGACAAAATAATGCAAGTCAACATTGAAATACGGGGGAAGGGGAGCTCCTCGGATATCGATGGAATATGATCAAAATTGTCATCTTGTTTCTCGGAACGATCATATAACTTGCGATATTTTGTCCGCCCACTGTACCTCCCACGATTTCTGAGGGGGAGGGTGGGTTCATTTCGCCTGGGAGCTCCCGAGCGAAGTGAACCCCACCCTCCCCCTCAGAGATCGTGGGGGGTAGGGGTAGGGCTCGCGTGTGGCCCCCTATTTTCGCCTCCCGTTTGTGACTGTTTTGACAGCGCGAGGAGGTCTGGGGGGAGAGACCCCCGCGGGCCCGCACCCACAGGCCACCCTGGCGACGGGTCGCTCTTCCGCGCGGCCGGGATGTGAGCAGGCAGCCCCTGCGCGGACATCCCGCGGCGCCGCCTCTGCACCGCCCGCGGCCGGCCGTCGCGCGGGAAGGCGCTAGACAAGCGCGTTCCACGACTCGCAGAGTACCTGCTCGCGAATGGCCTGGATCCGCCGCGGGGCACTTATCGGCGGTGGACAAACCTCCCTGTAGTAAACCTCCCCTCAGTGAAAACGGCCTGAGACCGAAAACGACGGACCTGGACCCGCAAAAATGACGGCCGCGACGCCCTCTCGCGAACCGAAAACAGCCAATTTTTTAATCGACGTGTCAGTGTAGGAGGTTCATCAATTTTCGACATGTACCATACATAGCGCCGAAGCAAACACATGTTTTTTTGTTTCTCACGTCTGCGAATAGGCTTACGTCGGGCATGTCCCCCTGATTACAAGCGGCTTTTGAAGGAAAAATCAAAAATAGCCAAACATACTCCAGGATGGTCTAGAAACATAATCCCCATACTACTTGTTGACTATTTTCGAATATTCCTCCTGTCGAGGGTAGGCACGACTCAAGAGTAGGCACTTTGCGAGCAATGGAGCGCGCTCTGTGGGAGGCGGCGGCTCGCCCTCCGGCAGCGGGCCGGGCGCCTGGCTCCTCGGGCTCCGCCCGCCGCCTGAGCCGGACTGGCTACGGAGAGGCCCAGGCTGCAGAGGAGCGACGGAAAGGAGGGGGTCTTACGCGACCCCTCCTCCTCCTCCTCCTCCTCCGCCTCCGCCTCCGCTTCCTCCTCCGCCTCCTCCTCCTCATCCTCCCCCTCCTCCTCCTCCTCCTCCTCCGCCTCCTCCTCCTCTTCCTCCTCCTCCTCTTAAACCCATATCGGCACGAGCGCATAATTTTGTTGCGGCCTCGCGCCAAGGCCTCTCACCGCCCCCGAGCGTTGGAGGGGCAGCGAGCCACCAGCACCCGTTTCCAGCTGGCGCTCTCGCTGGCAAAAAAGGGTTCAGCCATGGGGGCCACGCCTCATCGTGTGTGGTTCACCTGCAAGTCGTGCGGGACATACGAACGCAACGATGTCTTCCAGGTGAACAAGTGTAAGTGTAGGAAGTGCGGGCGGCAGGTGAAACTTCATATATAAGGCCAAGCCTTCGAAGGACTCCCCCATACTCGTCGACACCAGCCCCAACCAGCCCACAGTCGAGGGTCTGTTGGCGCAAGCAGCGAAGATGACCAACGATCCCGCGCTGAAGCAGGTGTTGCATGAACGGTGAAGAAGGGTCCCTCCACTGCGCAGGCTCGGTCGTCGTCAGTGTCCGCGGCGGAGGCTGTGCGCAGGGCGGAGGGGATCTGGAAGCAGGCGCCCTTGCAGTTCGAGCAGGCCGCGTCGCAGGTCCAGCGCTGCAAGGAGAGCCTAGAGAAGGCCAAGGCTCGCGAGGCCGAGGCGATCAGGACCCTTGCCGCGGCTGAGCTGAGTCGCAAGGTGGCGGCCAAGGCCATGGCTCGTGAGGTCGGCGTCGCCGAGAGCAGCAGCCCTTCCCCGTCTGGGGGCAGCGGCGCCGCATTCATCGAGCCGCAATGGGACACGGCCTTCTTCGAGCAGCTCGCCTCTCTCGAGTGCACTGAGACCGAGCGCCAACAGCTCAAGCATTTCGAGCAGGACTTGCATATGGCCAAGTCCAACTTCATGGCCAAGGCAGAGGAGATCAATCAGTGGAAGGCGTCCGTCACCGAGATCAAGCTGAATTTCGAGGAGCGGATGATGAAGAAGAGGAACACAAGCGCGGAGTCGGCCGCCGCAGGCGACGCAGGCGGATGGGGGCTCCCCAGCGGCTGCGGCTCCCGCAGCTGCCCCGTCTCAGGAGGAGATCGACGTCGAGGTGGGGCGCATCCGCAGGCCTTGCGAGGCTGGCGCAGCCGCCGCGGCGCAGACAGCAGGCACCCCAGAGGCGAGGGCGCGCCGCTGGGCAGCGCCGCGGCCGCTGCGGGCGGCGCGGGCAAGCGACCCCGCAGCGCGGCGGCTGGAGGTCCAGCGGCCCCTCCGCTCAGCCCTGCCACCAAGTGAGCCGCAGGGCGCAGTCGCGCAGGCCCAGGAGCCTGCAGCGGGCGCGGCTGACATGGAGGGCGAGCAGGAGTGCGAGATGTTCTTCGCGAACATCACCGCGCTGGGAAAGAAGTCCTGGGCATACCTCAACAGCAGCGAGGTCATGAATGAGTGCCAGTGCATCGGGGTCGTTAAGACGCGCGTGCCTGGGGGTGGGCCTACTCGCAGCGAGTGGGCCCGCAAGATTCAAGCGTCCAAGTGGCGCTTCCTCGACAATGGCGCGAGGGGCACGGGCAAAGGGAGGTCCGAGGCTGCTCGCGAGAGGGCTACGGAGAGCGCGGAAGCCTTCCTTGTCAGAAACTACTGGCATGTCAAGCGCTTCAGTCAAAAGGCGCGCGACCTGCCAGCCTACTGCGCCGAGGGGAGCGACTCCTTCGACGGGTTCATGCCAGTGCTGATCCACCATAAGGGGTTCTCGTTCGTGACGGTGCTCTTCTACGGGTTCCCGTCCATCGGTCATGGGCAACGTCACGAGTTTCGGCAAGGTCGGAGCCTTCGTGCGGAGCCTGCAGCTCCCTCCTTGGTGCATCATCGGAGATTTCAACGTAGATATCCATACCATGGCTAGATCACAGTTTTTGCGTCAGACACGGTCACATGATGAGGTCGTCTGTGGAGTACACATGTATGGGGGGCTCAAGGAATTCTCACTTGGACTATATCATCGCAGGCGCAGCTTGTGTGCCGTTTATCAGAGGTGTCGAAGCCGTGTCGCACATGCCTTGGAAGCCTCACTGTGGACTGACAATTTGTTTGCAGGGAGCCGGCCAGCAAATTCTCGTTGCGCAAGCTTGTCTCTGCACCTCGTTTTCCTCGCGTGGAGAGACCAAAAAGTGGGCCCCGCAGCAGGCTCCAAATCCAGCAAGGCTCGCGGTACTCGCCTTGCACCTTGTGAGCTCGCTCGAGAGAAATGTAGGGCGTCGTGTGATGAGCTGTGCTCCGATGTCTTGAGACGGCCCACTGAGACAGGAGGAGGAGGGGGAGGAGGGGGAGGGGGAGGAGGAGGAGGAGGAGGAGGAGGAGGAGGAGGAGGAGGAGGAGGAGGAGGAGGAGGAGGCAGTGGGGCGGATTTGGATAGCGAGGACGATGCGGGCGCCCTCGCTGCGTCCGCGCCTGCTCTCGGTGAGGCGCCGCTCGAGGACGTCGGGGATTTCTGTTTCGAGTCCGAGGGGTAAGAGGACCCTTGGGCCCGCGAGGCTAGTTTCCAAGTTGAGTCGCGGGACGAGAGCTCGGGTTTGACCTCGCGCACCGCACCCAGGCCTGGAGTAGCACACGCCTGCAGGACCCCCGAGCAGGTGATTCGGGAGCCCAGCGAGGTCCTTGCCAGTGCATTCCATGATAATTCAGTCGGTAACTCATCAGTTGTAACGGTGGGGGAGAGTAGGGCCCAACCCAGCGATTGCCCCGAGGGTGACCCCAGTGGAGCTGGTCTTGGCTCTTCCCGCTCTTCTGCCACTGCCGCTGCCTCTGCGCCTTCCCCCACCGGTGCTTCCACCTGGTCTTTAGCATCGGCTCAAGTTGGTTGGCCTCAACACTCTCTTAATGAAGTGTTGCCCGCAGCGCGGCAGTCACTTGCCTTCCAGATCGTGCAGGAGCACACTCTGCCGATCAGCAACAGATACGGTGCCTGGATCGAATCCGTCGAGCGAGCAGTGGCCACGCATCGTGAGCAGGACCCCCCGCGACAATCGCGCGCTCGGGGGCCCCTGCCGATCGTGGCCCCAGTGCTCCGGGCCACCCACTCGCGGGAGCAGCCGCTGCGCGACGCGGTGGCGAGCTGGCGGGCCAGCGCACATTCACCTGCCCAGAAGCTCCCGCGACGTCGCAGTCGGAAGAACGGGCCTGCTCAGACTCAGCACCTCTGCGCGGCCGCCGCGCGGACCAGCGGCAGCGCGCCGGATGCAGCGAGCAGCATCGAGATGAGCGGCTTCGGCGCGTGGGCGGAGTTGCAGCGCGATCTGGCAGGGCTGGCACATGCGAGCGTAGGTCGTCTCAAGGTTCTGCCAGCCTGGGCCTCCCGCGGGACTCGCGTCGCAGGGTCTCGGGCCGCCTCGGCTTCGCCGAAGGAGCTTCAAGAGTGGATTGCATCAGCGCCAGCAGCGGGCGTTGTTCACAGGAGTCTGAAGGATTCCAAGCCAGTCGCAGACGAGCTGCATCTCGGTCTGGACATCATCGATGCGAAGGTGCAGAAGTGGCACGGGCTGCGGCGTTCAAATTCTCTGTCTTTCAGCATGGTTGAATAATCGTGTGGATTTACTCGACAGCATGCACTTATCGAGCGACTGGCGCCTACCACTGTTGGCGATTTGAGCGCGGCTCTTTCCGAGATGGAGAGCAAGGCAGGGCTGGGGATCGATCAGTTACCCCCAGCCGACGTGGAGAGGCCCCCCGACGTGGCCCGCGAGGAGCTTTGCCAGCTCTATCAGATGATTTAGGAGGGCCTGTCGCGGCCCTGGCAGGTTATGACAGTGATTGGCCGTCTTCTTGGGGAAAAGAATGGCGGCGACCGAGCGACTGGTTGCGTGGCGATGTCCAGTCGGACATGGTCAATGCGTCGCGAGCCCCTGATGCGGCAGCGGGCTGTTGAGCAAGAGCCCGAGCGGGATGCTGCGGCGGCCAACGACAGCGCGTTGCGCGAGGCCTTTGCGCGCGCCAGCGATGAGGAGGTGGCGAGCAAAATGGCCGTGCCACGCGGACATTCCTTGGCCGATATCGAGTTATTTGTATGACAGCATCGAGTTCGAGCCCCTAGCCAAGGGAGCCATCGAGCTCGGGTTTCCCCCGGTGGTTCTTTCACTCGAACTGCAGCTCTGCATGCGCCAGGGGAGCCCTTGCCCAACTGGAGTCTTTCTCCGAATTGTTCCAACCAGCGAGGTCCGTGGTTCAGGGCCGCCGCAACGGCGCTCGCTTTGCGAGGAACATGACACATTGGGTGGTTCAGAAATTCTGCATCGGGCGCCCTACTCTGTCTGACAGTTTGTGGATAGACGACCTGTCCCAGGGTTTCGGGCTCGC